CAAAGGGTTTATTTACATAAAAGAGTTGTTGCTTAACGATCATAATTGTAAAATGTGTCAAGATCATTCTAAATTGAAGAAAAAATTGACAAGGGCAGTTAGTGTAAAAGCAGATGCATTTGCGATTAAATCCGAAGATGTCGAAAAACCTAAGGAGGTATTAGACAGGAAGGCTGGCATTGGAGAGTGGGGAGCAAACAAGGAAGGAGAAGAACAACAAATTCCGAGTGGAACATATCAGAGCAAAAATAGCGAACTTGATAAAATCCCTATATACAAAAATACAGCCATAACAATTCATGATGAATACGACATTAGCAATATCATGGCAAAATTAACTACTAGCGCTAAACAAGTTATGATCCGTGCAAAATATGCGTGGTCAGGAAAAAGTTATGTTTGTGAACGACTGGCTGTTATAGGTATGCGTGTTTTATTTGTATGTCCAACAAATAAGCTACTTGTAGTTCAAACATGCGGAACAGAAGCAAGTACAGTTAATAATTTTTCGATTGCAGTTAGAGACGAGAAATTCGAATAATGGATTATTCAGGTTATGACGTTTTATGGAACACGGCAGTGATAGAATAATAGTAGCAACCGGAGACAGTAAGCAATTGAAACCAGTAGAGAACACGAAGAATAATCAGATATTTGTGTGGAAAAATTTAAATCTGATATTTAATTGAAAATGTGCAAGAGGTTAAGAACATAACACGACAGGCGAAATTTAGAAAATGTTTATGAAGACACTGTTGCAAAAACGCATTAAGGCGGAGAACTCAGTGCAAGAATATTTTAAATGCACTTCCGATATAAGCCTACACAGCAACAATGTAGCATGTTTGAATGACGCTTGTAAGCAAGTAGCAAACCAAATAAGCAAGAAGCAAAACAGACAGGGATAATATGAAGTAGGCGAAGTAGTGATATGGAGAGAATGCTAGAAAACAAACTCAGATGAATATCAAGTTAAACTTAAATACTAAATTTTATGCATAATTGAAAATATGGTAATGTTAGAAGACGAGCACACTAAAACGATTCAAAAACTGCCGTTAGACATGTTGAGAACGCATTTTACATTCAATTAATGTTTTACCTGCCATAGCGTCCAAAGTTCTAGCATTGAGGGAGGTTTAACACATTTTAACAATATTTGATTACAACCATTGCTTAGTAAATAAAAGCTGGATATGGACATGCGTCGACTGATTTACATAATGTCAGTTTTACAAATATGACCATGACGATGATGATTCAAATAAAAACTGCATTTATAATTATTTGAAGAGAAAGGTCGAGGGAAATAAGGAGCAAGACAGAAAAGCGAAAAGGAAAATTGATCATAACAAATTATGCAATGTAGGTTTTTATGTGAAATCAACAAACGGAAACATAAGAACGAATCTAACACTGCAAAGAAACTTTAACGACCAAACTCACACCATAAGCAATTGTTTAGCATACTGTAAAAAGGGTAATTACAGTACGCGTGACAAAGAAAAGTTTTAAACAGATTTAGTTTTGAAACAATAACTTTTATATTATAATGTATACATGCCGGTTAGTAAAACCATAGTGGAGCAACCATATGAGGAAGAAGTTCAAGAATTTAATGAAAAGGTTTGTGATCTGATTTCAGTGAATCATAAAATGGAGTTGGTCGTAGAAAAATCGAGGCTTTTAGTGAAAAACCCCCAAAACCAGAACAAGCAATACACATACCGAAGCATCATACACAAACAAAAGAAGCGCTTATATCAACAATTTAAGCGACGAAGCAATCTTACAGCCGAAGCCAGAAACGATGGAATATTACAAGGTTGTAAAGGATGGTGAGAAATGTGTTTCAAGTTTTACAGCAAATTCCAAGGTGAAATTTATGATAAAATTTGTTCAAAGTTTTACGAAAAAATCATGTAACATTTATGACAAACAGATTGTAAGGCTTTACAATACGTCTTAATGTCAGATTCATGACAAAATTCGATAAGAAAATATTACAAGGATTTATTTACCAAGATTTTTACCAAGAAAAATTATAATCGGAATTATTCACCAAAGTTTATGAATGTTTCCTGGATGAAGAAAGTTGAATATTTTTATGAAAAAATTGATAAGTTTTATGAAGAGAATTCTTATGAAAAAATTGAATATTTATGATGAAAAGTTTGAATATTTTTATGATGAAAAATTTCATGATGAAAAATACATATTTTTGTGATGACAATTCTTCATAAACTTTATGAGAAAATCTTATGACAAATTGTTGGTGACATTTTATGATGAAAATTTAAAATATTTCTACATACAACATTTTTATGATGAAAATCTAGCAAACTTAATGATAAATTTTGGTGAAGTTCTAAACGCCAAAATTGGAATATGTTTCTATAAAATAAAGTTGATTTGTTTAGATGGGTTGAAAACATGAATTGTTAAAAACTCATTATAAAATGATGAATGTTTGTTGAATTTCTTAAGTAATTTTCTTTACTGAGAAAGCGATTGAGGTCAGGATGTCAAAAATGGGCAAAACATATTGAACTGTTGAAAACGTAGGGTGGGGTACAGGGTTAAAATGTGTGAGGTAAGAGTGTTCCGGTAGAAGACTTGGGACGCAACCACTCCAAACTGCGGACTGACCATCGGTGAATCTCAGGTCGGGCCTAGGTAAGAAGAGACTAGCACCAGAGTTCAGACAGCGTTAGTGTTGCGGTTGGTGTCTTTCCATGATGTCACTTGGGAGCCAAGTCGGAGGGGCGGAAATCGGGGCAGACGAGTGGAAGTGACTCCACACTTCGCAGGATGTGAGATGTATGACGGACAGATTGGTATGCTTGGTTGAATTGGTCCAAGGACGTGTCCAGCTCTCTGAAGGAGGCCAGGCGAGCTTCGCAGCTTCGCGAGTTAAGTCTTGTTCATGACATCGGCTCGCATCCACACGTGAGCAGGTTCGTGGCGGCCTCGGCTACGGGACCGTCAATGCTTCACTCCAGTAGCAATAGACACAGTCACTAGCAACTGTCTATGATCTGTTTGTTTGCTCACTTCAGTATCTGGCTTCAGTTCACGGACTGCACAGGGACGAAACCGAGACGTGCTGACGTTGTGTCTGTGTTGAAACCGGGTGTGGTTCCGGTCGGAATGAGGGAGTTGGAAGGAACAGAGGAGCTGGCGGGAGGAACTGGAAAGCCATAGCGTCGACGAGACCGGCAGGAGGAAGCAAGGCCCGCTGAGGCATGCAACCAGATCAAAAATTTCAAGATGGTCGTCCCAGCTGGTCTTTGAGTGAATCCTGCCGACCTTGCGCTGGATCAGCGCAATGCACCGACATGCCCGCTGAAGCATTTATGGTTGTCTCCTCGTTTCGTTTCTCGCCTGACCCTTGCAAGGTCCTTGCACCATCTTGCACCTGTTGCCTTGCTGCTTGCTAATTTATATCGGGTTCCTTGATTTTCGATCGTGTCGGTGAACATCGCTCCACAACGGCTTTGCCCATGCTAAGTGGGCACAGCGAGGCATCAAAGAGGTGCCTGTAGCTTGGCAAAGGCATCCAAGCAGGTTCAGAAAACGTGATACCGCATGATACCTCGGTGTTGTCACTGACATTGGAATTTGCAGCTTTCCATCCTTCTCCGACGTACTGCATGTTGCACCTGCATGCTCTACTCTAGACTCCTGTGCATCCTTCTGTTTTGACTGGCCATGCTTCTGTCCGCGTTCGGTCTTGCTCACGTTTTCTGAGGGGCCGCTGCCAGCTCGGGTGATGGGATTGTCTTGGAGCAGGCGCTGGAGGTGGGGGATATAAGCGCAGACTGCCGGAGGGGCAGCTGACTCATTTGGACGGGAACGCCCTTGGTCCGCTTGTCCGAGGACAACTTGCAGCTGCGCAAGGAGCTCAATGCTTTGATTCAGGCCAGAGCATGTCAGAGCCATGCTGCACGAAAGATGTCCATAGGTCTTGACCGTCAGGTTATACTACTAGTAGATTAAGCGTACCCGCACTACCTCGTATGCTGGAAGATTGAGCTTCGGAGGAGAAGCGGGAAAGAGCCGAGAGCGGAGCATTCAGTGCTGAAGGACCCGCGATATGTACGAGCTTTTTTTCTCAGTGGTCATCACATCATTCGAGGAACTGAAGTAGCCGAAGAAGGCTGGGACGCTGCAGAGAGAGTTTCCACCCAGTACTCGTTCTGCACGTTTTGGCTTTTTGCAGTGTTGCTTTGCATCGGGGGACCCCAAAACCTGAACAATGCATCTTCGTGCTACCCATGCTACAGCCCTGCTCCCTCAGGTGTGAATTCTTTAAACAGGGCTGGGGGGAGACTTCAGCCCCCTCAGTCCTTCTCAGGCAAACCCACTCCGTCGAGCCCACATTGGCTCATAATCCTAGCTTCTTTTTAACACACCTGCTTGAGGGGAGTTGTACTAGGAATTCGGGGGAACAAGAAGGCCCAAATTCGAAGCCACACAAACCTTGAAGTTGCCAGAGGAGACTTAGCATGTTTTTCCTTCGCCCCCTTTTCAAACCGAGCCTGCCCGAACTCGGGGGATGCAGCTATGCATTTGATCTTCTAGGTCGCGGCCTTACTTTCTTTCAGTTTGTTTCTGCTGCACCCCAAGGGCATCATGGCTGAAACTTTTCAGTACAAGGGGCATGTTCTGTAAAGCCGAGCCTCCTGCGGTAAACCCATAGGGGGACAAAGAAGACCCCATGAACCGCTGGGGCGCGCTCGCGCGCGGGGGGTAGAGCTGGACCGCTCTGCTCCTCTGACCAGTAGAGAGAGAGAGAGAGAGAGTACAACCGACCCCTAAGCCCTGCAGAAAGAAAGAAAGAGAGTACATATGGCACTTTGCAGCCTAGTCAGGGAGACCCACACACAACCTCATTTTCACACTCCCTCAAAGAGAACCCCAAACACTGGGAGGGCCTCTAAAGGCCAGGGGGTTTGACAGCCCCCTATGTCCTGATGAAGAAGAGAGAGGGGCACGAGATGTCACGTGTCACCCGCGAGGCCTTCTGCAGTTCTTCCAGGAAGCGGCGCTCCTCGTGCCGGGGTCCGGCACTCAAAGAGACGCCCAAGCAAAGGCCCAAGGCCCAGGGTCGAGAACCCGGCGCTTCGCGTTGCGTCGCGTCGCGCTGGCGCGGCGCGGGGCCTCTCAGCCCCTTCAGGTCTGAAAAGAGGAGCCAGAAGCCAAAGAAGTCCCTCTTGGGCTGGTGAGGAAACGCCTCCAAAGTGAGGTGTTTCTGAGAAAGCGTTTCACTCCCGATCCCCGCAGTTGCCCATCTTCGAAACAGCCTGCAACGAGAGCGAGGTTGCATTGCTCCGATGCCCATTGTGATGCGAATGGCAAGAACAGCAACCGGAGAAGTCGTGATGGCTCAAGTTGCAAAAGACTGCCAGGTCCTGTCTGTGTCGGGGGCTTGGGACAACGACGAGAACACAATTTCAATCCTGTCGGAAAGACTAGCGCGTCGAAGGCTTTCTTGGTGTGCCAGATCAGCTGCCTTCAGCTGCTTTGGAGTAGCCTTGAGATTGCCCGCAGCAGCAGCACATGCAGAATAGGGTTGTCGAACTCGTCGGATGGTCTGGATAACGCATGACATGTGCTCCAGACTAACAGATTGCAACATGTGCATGAACGACAGTGCAGTTGGATTGTGGAGTTCTGGGTGTAGTCGACAGCATCACTCAGGCCGGAACATGGGTGTGGTGGCAAGGATTTGGGGCGCCTTCTCCTGCTCACGGCGCAGATTTTGACTCAGCCTGGCCGCGGGGTTCAGATACGACAGCTGTTAGACGGCATGGGTGAGATGAGGAACAGACACCGGCCAAAATGTCCGAAGCCCTGAGACTGGCAGTAGGCGAACTGACTTGCCTCGAGAACCTCCCAAGGCTCCGTTGACATCAGAGGTTCCGGTCGCAGAAGACAAGCCTTCAGAAGGCAGGGTCCAGGCTTGTAGCTGATCTCCAGATCGCGACTGTTCTGAAGGTGGGGAGCCGGACGTGCAAGCTGCGGCGACAGAGCTCAAGGTAAAGGGCAACGAACATTTTAAGAAGTCGGCATCTGAGACACTTTGAGACAGGCACGTGACGCATATGTCATGGCACCGATTTCCCGTCTTAGGAGTGAGTACTCTGAAGCACTGGACGTCTACACGCGAGCAGCAGTGCCCTGACGAAGAGTAGCGTACCCACATGCTACACCTCTATGTCATCATGATCGTGGGTGGCGCAGGAAACCTACATGTACGATGCCAGCATTTGGCTGAACCGGTCAATTTGCAACAGGCCTTGCCCCTCTCTCTCTCACATGTTCTAGGGAATTTGGGATGTGCCGTATTGGCTTCGTGATGTCAGCTACTTGCAGCATGTGAATGCCCAGTACATGTGCTGCCGGCAAGCAAGCGAAGTTTTTCGCAGCAGAATCTCTCCTGTCTCCAGCAAATTTTTTGTTATTCTTCCGACCGGAGGTCCCTCCCCGTGTTGTCTTGCAAAGGTCACCGGCCGAGTCTAGAAGACGGAAGCCAGTGAATCTCAGATGCCACAAAGCATCATGTCAAGGTCAGTATTGTCGTTGGTGTGGCCACATAATTTGCAGAAGACTTGCCGCGACGGTTTGCATTATCGTCGCGGCAGACATATAAACGGATAAATCCTGCTGCTCAAACCATGTGATGTCACCGATGCCGATTGAACAGTGGCTGTTTGACTTTTCGGTCTAACGCCTCGGCTGAACTTGTGTCAGAAAGCCTTCCCGCGTTGCGCGTCTGCAGGAAACTGAACAACCTGGAGGATGCGGCGACAGATGCGGAGATTGCTCAGGAGATTGACCCGAGCAACGTCAAGGCACAAAGGCTGGGGGTATTCTTGGTCAGCTTTCGGACGAACGTAGTGAAGGCATACTACAACAGAGCATTGGCCCTGCAACTCCTGGATAAGCACGACGAGGACATCCTTCCTGCAAGTCTAAGTGGGCTCCCTTGCTTGTCAACACGGTTTAGACCCGTGCTGGATAGGCGCTGAGTATTTGCAAGAAGGGCCTGAACACACAATCAGGCAACAAGGTGGGATCGTCAATGCAGCACGGTGTCAACAACGCAAAGGCAATATCCCAGTGCCCTCCAGGCTCTCCAGCAGCTCAAAATCGATTTGCAGAAGAGCATTGCAGAGGCACATCGTGGTTTGTATGCAGCGCCTTGCTTGAGGTGCAGAGCTCTTCTGTTCGATGTTGCAACGAGAGCGGTTCTTCTTGTCGACGAATGGGATTTGATCCGGTCAATTGTTTTGCCTCATTGAGCATCTCACACATGTGTGGCCATTTGGGTGAATGCTTCGATTTATGGGTTTCCCCGTTCTCTCCGTCTCTTTCGCTTGACCCCGAATTGCATCGTCATGGCTACTCTTCCCGACGACTCCTGCTTCGCGTTTTTGCACGAGGGCTGCGTGAAGGTCTTTTATGTGGCTTTCCCAGAGACGATGCCGCGACGTTTTCCAGACGTCGTCGATGCTGACGTATTGACCACAGCTATTTGACCTCTTGGTGTGCCTCTTGACCGTCGACTGATTGAATGGGCATATGTTCAAGCTCCTCGAAGATGTTCTGGTCTTCATCCCAATTCCATCATGCTAAGAGCACGGACCTTCGCGGGTAAACCTTCGCTGGGGCCTCTGCCATATGTACTGGTCCAGCAACTAATATCTTCCACAAGTGACCAAAGCAGAGGCCACACAACTTATCCTGCACGGGCCGGTCAGGGACGTGCATTTGGGAGCAAATCTTCCTCAGCCCATTCCAGGCCATTTGCTTCTTGGTCCGACAAAACATCACCGAGACGATCGGCTTTCCGTCCTTCCTTCGAACCGACGGACTCGGAGTCTTCGGCACCACGGTTTGGGGGCACCACCTCTCGTCCAGTGATGCCGGTGTTGCATCTAGGGCGAGTGGGTCTTCCTGTTCTCACAACCGCCGCCACAACGCCAAACTCCGCGCCCGCGTCGAAGAAGCGAGCCAAGTACCCGCCACAATGGTTGAGAACCCACTTGCCCCAGCTCCACAGGTGGATATTGTCGAGCCTCGGTCCCCTTCACCGCTCGGCGCCCAATACAACCGGTTTGCCCCATCTCGTCGACTTCATCAGCCACGTACGCCGTACAGTTCACCTAGCTCTCGTTGTTCAACTTCCGGCCTTCGAAGCGCGACGCTTGCCATTGGCAATGACCCGGGAAAGTGGGTCCCGGTTTCGTCCCCCGCTGAAGACGAAATTGTTCGCCAGGAGCTGAAGCTCAAATAGTGCGCGATAAAGACAAAATTCGGCCCTGAAGACGAAATTCCGGTGAAGACGAAATTCGGTTCGGGGGACATTGAAGACGAAATTCGGTCGTGAAGACGACATTCGTCCCGAAGACGAAATTCAGCCTGAAGACGAAACTCCTCACTACGAGAAACCCATCGCAGATGTTTCTAGGCTCCTGCATGCTCTTCCAAGACAATCCAGCCCTGCAGACGAAATTCGGCCCTGACGACGAAATTTCGGCCCTGAAGACGAGATTCGGACCTGAAGACGAAATTTGGCCCTGAAGACGAAATTCGGACCTGACGACGAGATTCGGCCCTGAAGACGAGATTCGGACCTGACGACGAGATTCGGTCCTGAAGACGAGATTCGGCCCAGAAGACGAAATTCGGACCTGAAGACGAAATTCGGCCCAGAAGACGAAATTCGGCCCTGAAGACGGAAGTTCGGCCTTGAAGACGAAATTCGGACCTGAAGACGAATTTCGGCCCAGAAGACGAAATTCGGCCCTGAAGACGGAAGTTCGGCCTTGAAGACGAAAATCGAGGTAATATAGGCATATAGGAACTCCGATCTTAAAATCAAAGGCACCCCATCCAAGACTCCATCCTCTGAGTTCAGGGCGATATAGGAGTTCTGATGTTAGCATCAGCGCCCCATCAGTCCATGGCTCCATCCCCTGCGTGCAGGGTCGAGGCGCCATCCTCTGAGTTCAGGGTGATGTAGGAGTTCTGATTTTAAAATCAAGGGCACCCCACCAGTCCAAGGCTCCATCCTTTGAGTTAAAGGTGATGGGAGTTCTGTTCGTAAAATCAGGGGCGCCCCATCACGCTCCATCTCGTGAGATCAGGGTGATAAAGCAATTCTGAGGGCCCACCATCAGTCCAAAGCTCCATCCTGTGAGTTCAGGGTCACGGGAGTTTTGAATTGAAAGTCAGGGTTTTCAATCAGGGGTGCCCCACCACTCCCAAACTCCATCCTCGGAGTTCCGGGTGAATTGCGTAGGAGCTCCTATTTTATCATGAGGGGCGCCCCATCACTCCCAGGCTCCATTCTTTGAGTTCGGGCTGATATTGGAGCTTTGATTTTCAAATCCAAGGCACCCCATCAGTCCAAGGTTCCATCCTCTGAGTTCAGAGTGATGATGGAGTTTTGGTTTCAAAAGCAGGGACGCTCCATCAGTCCAATGCTCCATCCTCGGAGTTCAAGGTGATATGGGTTCCGATTTAAAATTCAGGGGCACCCCATCGGTCTCAGGTTGTATCCTCTGAGCTCAGGGTGATGTAGGAGTTCTGAGTGCAAAGTCAGGGGCACCCCACCAGTCCAAGGCTACATCCTCTGAGTTAGAAATGATAGGAGTCTTGTTCGCAAAATCAGGGGAGCGATACTAAAGGAGCTCTGATTGTGGCATCAGGGGCCCCTCACCAATCGCAGGCCCAGGCCCCATCCTCTGAATTCAGGGTGATGTAGGAGTTCTGATTTAAAGTCAGAGACCCCCCATCAGTCCAAGGCTTTGTCCTCTGAGTTCAGGGTGTTATTTTGTAATTTTTTTGTTACCGTCAGGGGCACTCCATCAGTCCATGGCTCCATCCTCTGACTTCAGAGTCACAGGAGTTCTTACTTTAAATCAGGGGCGCCCCATCAAGGCCCCATGTAACGGGGCACACAACCGACGACGGACGGCACATTGGCTGGAAAGAACGCCTGTAATGTTCGGCACTCTGCTGTCCAAAACGCTCAAGCCAGATCGCGGATTCCGATGCATTCTAAACGAAATTCCGGCATTGGATCGGTATCGGACGTCGAAAAAAATTTGGAAGATCGCAAAATAGGCTACTGCTTCGAAAGTGCTTACTGACGGGTGTATGCTTTGTCGATTAGCGATGTATGTTTTGTCGGTTTGCTGCGATTTCTCCTGATGTGTCTGGGTTGACATGATCATGATGTCACTGCATGTTCGCCCAAGTGGAGTCTGCATAGTCTGCAACTTGATGGCTCCTTGCCTGAGCGCAGGCCAAAGCAGCTTGTCCCGGAGAATTGGTTCCTCGTCTGCCAGTTCTGGAAGTTCGCAGTCGAAGGCTTGTTGGCCCCGGCTAAGGCACCGTGCCCACAAGGTCCGGTGAAAGCGGCTGATGCTCTCCAGAAGAAAGATGCTCCAAAGCACGGATGCCAATTTGGTTTTGAGTTCACAGGACTTTCATCTGTGCAGCGAGCTCTTTTCTTAACTTGATTTTACTGCACCCCTTCTTTCCGAAGGTCATCTGACGATGTCTATGAGTGGAAAAACGGAGAGCCCAGCGAAGCAGAGCGGCAGGCAACTCCTTGGCAGAACCCACACATGCGTGAAGGCTAGGTGTGATTCCATTGCAAGGGGTACAAGAAAGCCATGGTGGCACCGACCTTAGAATGCCACTGGCAGATTCTGTCAAAGCAGATCGCAGCACGTGATGCCAAGGACATGTTCAGGTCCAAGTACGAGGAATTAAAAGAAAGGGCGGAAGCCGCAAAATCTAAGAGGTCGACTCTTCAGACAGACCATTACGAGGACAGCTGCGGCTTTTCGAGCTTGGAACAACCCAAGCTAGTGGAAGCGGAACGCGTGCGAGGATGCTCAGAAACAGAGTCTGCAGCTTTCTGGCGGGCACAGGCCCATGGACAGGTGCCTTGCCCAAGGGCCTCTTTGGCAACGCTCGGTAGCGATAAGCTATGCCCATTTTTGAGTCAATCTTGCAGGCCGGATAATGTCGACCTTCCTGCCGACTATCAGCAGCCAGTTGGCTTGCTTTCGGCAGAGCAGTTGTCAGCGCAGATGGCTTGGAAATGGATGCAGACTTGACGAGCCTGCAGTCACTTTCGTATGTCTCGCATCTGAAGGTACGACGCCGAAAACGCAAATCGGAGATACCTGTTGTCAGTATATGGTAACATTTTTGATGTCTCAGACCGCTGCTTGGCAGCATGCTCATGCTTGCACCCATCTCCGAGAGAAGTGCGGTTGGACAGGTCCGGACAAATATGATCCAGACGGCCCATACGCCAGTCTGACTGGCAAGGACACAGAATGAGAATGCCGCGTCAGATGAGCATGAACCGATGCCAAGCGGAGGTTTGCCATCTGTGGCATGCGGCCGCGCAGGACCTGACCTGGGGGCTGTTCGCTGGCGTGGACACGGTTGAATACACCAATAAGCCGACGCCTGACACCAGAGATTTTTTGTTTCTGGCTAGCTTGCTGAAAGTCTATCTCCGCAGGTTTTATGATCTGTACAAGGCGAGGGACTTGGGAAAGGTGCGATGCTGAGCCGAATGTTGGGCTTTCGGCTTGACGTCCTTTGACCAGTTATTCCAGGACAAGCTTGCTGGCGTGTGCAGCTGGCTGGTGCAAGGCTTAATTGCTGAAATCTCGTGGGCTAGTGGCAGATGTTTTTTCATCGAGGTTGTCCTCGAGTGTTTGTCGCGATCAAAGGCATGGTACGAATCGGAATATGGCAAGCCTGTCGGGCAGCTGGAGCTGCTTTCCCAGATGGCGCATCAGAGGAGAGATGCCGTTTAACCCACCACCGCCGAGGCCATGGTCGCGAGAAGCGGAGCTCCCTGTTCATCCCTCAGAATCAACCGACTCCTTCGATGCTTGAAATGCACCTCACTCTCGAAGGCGCCTCCACTTGAAGAAATCGAGGAGATGTGCGTTGTCCTGCACTCACGACCGGAACTGTCGGTTTAAAGCGTGCCGGAAGCGCTCGTGCCTCACCTTTTCAGGTAATGTGATGACAGGGAAATGATCGCGTGCGACAAGGGGGTAAAGATGTGCCGGCCCTGGTTTGATCCTTGCCCCGAATACACGAGCTGGCAGGTAGATTCCGAGGCAGAAGCAACGAGTTCACAACAAAGCCTGCTACTTGAAGTAGACCCTCCAACCGTCCCAGTGTTGCAATTTCTGCTTAAGTCCAGAAGTTGAGATAGAAACAAGCGCAGCAATGGAATGGGTCGACCCTTCTGACCTTTGGGCTAAAGGGCTCAGGTTTGTTGTATGCTACTGTTGCTTTCAGTTCCGTTCCGGCTTGCAATCTTGCGGCGCCTCATCTCGGCCTGCCTTCGACGAGGCCAGCACAGAAGTTGGTCCTGCAGGACAAGCTCAGACGGACGAAGCGGACTTGTCCCGTCTCGGCAGGGCGTCAGGGTTTCACAGTGGATTTGCCCGGACAGATACAGATGCGGCCAAGATGGCTTGGCATCTCCACAGCGTCCTGAATCAGGGATGCAGTGCTGGCAGTGGCGGAAGCCGAACTCATGTGCAGTCAACAAGTCGAGCTTGCAAAGAGCGAGTTTCCAATGTTTCCATGCTTGAAAGATACCTCGGTGTGTGGAAGCTTTGTTTTTCTCGTGGCTCACAAAGGAGTGCCTTTCCGGCCCGTTTGGCCTTGGCATAGGACATACCTGGCCCCAATACACAACTTCTCAGCCACTCAAAAACCTTCACAGCCCCTACCGTCACTACAGCAACTACGGTACCCAACAGTGCTCTCACACATGGTGCCGCCTCTCTGGGCTTGAAAGCGAGCCTCGAGAACCTCCACGAGCGATCCAGGTGTCAGACGGGGATCATGGGCCGAGGTTGGAGGTCACGAAGAGTTAACCTGTCGGCTGAGACAGGAGGAGTGATGGCAGAAGAGGCCGGCATGTAAACGGTTTGCAGTATCCCCTGCGACGCAAATTGGCGAGAGACAAATAAAAAAGCGATTCAGATGCATTGGACTGGTACCAGTTTCTCTCTGCTCAGGAGCAGCTGTTGATGTTAAGCTTGGATGACTGCGTGCGGCACTGAGCTGGTTAAATAACAGTCTGAGTCCGATCGTGTCTGAAGTTGCACATGTTGCACGAAGCTAGGTCTTGCTGCTTACCAAGAAGCACGGAACGCTGAAGGCCCTGTCCTTGAGGGTTCTCGCATGTAAAGCCGTAAGTTGAGGCAGCGACCGTGCAGGCGGCTTTCGACAAGCTCGATTTCTTCCAAGATGGACGCCTTTCCTGTTTGGAATGGCAGGAGCTAGCAGCAGTCACATGAGTCATATGCACTTGGCGTCTCTGCGCTACGGTGCTCTGACAGAGCGGCAGCGAGGAGGGGCTGCGCCAGCTGCTTTCAACTGGGTCGAAAGAGTCGCGCAGGTTGGGCAGCGTGCTGGAAGTCATTGTAAGCTTATGGACGTGCCAGTGCATGCACCGATCCAGGTTCGACCCCTTGAAAGATCCAAGACGCACATGTGACTCTGTGTTGCTGCGGCTTTTCAAAGCTATGGACAAGGAAAGCCCGCTGCCCGATGTTGTCGAAAGTATTGGACACGCTTTTTCACCGTGCACTTGACATACGAAAAACAGGACAAGGACGGCTTCATATCCTTTGATGATCTGGCCAATGCGAAGGGTGGGCTTGGGGCTTGGTTGGCCCACAGCTTGATTGGGTCCCAAGCGTCACATAATTGTAAACATGATTCATTGCCAGCTTAGCATTCCAAGGCCCTTTGTGTATGCACGCGAGCTTCGAAAAAAGGATACTGAGGAGAAGCTACCGGTGCGCTCTGAGAACTGATGGGCTTCGATCCTCAGCCTTAGCCAGATCCCGCCATGTTCGGACAGGTATCGCCAAAGGATTCGAAAGGATCACCCAGATTCTTTCAGGCGACGTCTCACATTCGACTGCCTTCATTCCAGCCGTGACTTGTGCTGATTTGAGCCGTGGATTGTCAGGAGCTCTCATACAGCTCCAGCTCAATGAATTTCACGCTGCTGCCGTCGGTGTCACGCAAGAAAGATGGAAAGGTGGGAGTGCGCACGACCATGCAGTCGTCCGTGTCCCTTCGTGCGCTACCTCACCACCAGCCACTTACACTTACGTTCCGCTTTGCTCGCAGGAACATTTTGCAGGCCACATCTACTCCGAGATGCGCCCTACGCCTACCATGAAACAGCATGCTTGCTTTTCCTGTTGCTGTACTGCTCTTCAGCTTGGCGTTCAAAGACAGCGTATAGTGCATGCATGAGCACAAAGCACCTCTTATCAATCCCGAATCTGCTCGGGGCAGCTCGACATCGCCTTTATTATCGCTTCTACAACTTCAACTATGCCATACCTTCGTTGCCAGGTTGCCAGCCACCGCGAAGCGGGCAGTAGCTGGAATTCGAAAGATGTGTCTGGGAAACAGGTTTCCGACAAACCCAAAAGCGCTGAAGATAAAACACATTTTCGTCCCGGGGAGCGCTGTGTTTTGCTTAAAGTGAGTCAGTCAGTCAGCCAGTCAGCCAGTGAGTCAGTTAGTCAGTGAGTCAGTTAGTGAGATATAGCAAATCAAAAAACAAAACACAAAGACAATATAACATATTCTAACATCTAAGTTTTATGTGTATATATTATATATGTATGTATGAAAAAAAACAGCATACTAGAGCTTACTATAATATACTGCAATATAGAATAAAAAGCCTGAAGACATGGGCATTATCACACGGAAGCCGATTGAACGTGTTCGCTCCAGCTGCTTTCCTCTCCATGTGGGCAGCCCTCCCAGACCTAGCAAGGGAAGTTAGGTTCTGGTGGTCGCCATCTTGCCAGTCGGTGCCCCTCTGGCTTATCGCTGTGCTTCTTGTGATTGCCTTTTGCTGCGGCTGCTTGGGCGGGGTTTGCTTAGCAGGCTTCGCTTTATCTGCGGGCATCCGACGGGCCTTGGTTTCGCTTTTGCGGCTTTTTGTGTCCTGGCTGGACCTGGCCCAAGGCGCACCTGAGGTGAGAGCACAGCTGGCTCAGCGCTTGAGGGAGTACAGGATTCGTGGATGAGTGGGCCAGGGAATTCAGTGGACCGTTTGGTGTTACAGTTTTCTGGCCTTCGCATAACAATCGAGCAAGGTGAGGCTTCAGCTTCGGCACGCGAGCCTTCTCCCGCAGACTCCTTTATTCTTGTGGAGGGCGACACAGCTGCAGGTTCCCAGACCGAAACTGGACCCCTTGTTCGGGGAAGCTCAGCTTCTCCAGCCGGGGCAGGTGCTTCGCCGGACGAGGCCTTCCTCGACGCTGCGACCCTGGCTGCTTTGAGTGCTCTTGAGCTGGGGCCTCTTGCAAGGTTCGCTAGGAGCCTAGCTTCAGTGGGTGAGTGGTCTCCTGCTGCTCGGGTGGCCAGGGCTTACCGAGCAGGACTCTCAGCCAAGGCTGTTCTTGAGGGGCGGACCGATTATCAGGCCTCCTCTTTGCCGGTTCCCACGAGGAACAGGATCTACGTGGTTGCGCGTTGCCGCGCCGAACCTCAAGGCTTTGTCACCGAGAATTTCCGGACGTTCCTGGACCGTGTGCCCAAGGACAAGGTGGGCCGATTGGAGAAGTTTGCTGTTTGCCACGCCTTCGCATCACGATCGGAAGCTTCGGCTTTCATTGAGGCTTCGGGGAGGCAATGGCCGCAGGAGCTGTGAGGGGCGCTTTGCGCCAGCAGGACATCGAGGCCTTGATGGATGGTGCACCCCCGGAGCGGCCCCTACCTATGTACTATTTCCTGGACAGCCCCGACAACCCCACAATGCGAATCACTGCCTTCATCGTCCGACTTCGCGCTGGAGGCATGATGGTGGCTATGCCTGGCACCGACGAGGTTGGGGAGCTCCTTTCGAACTTGAGCGAGACTGGGGACCCTTCGGCTCCTCTGCTCTTCACCCCTCTGCAAGTTGCCTGCGAAACCCCTCGGAGGCGAGCCCTTGGGCAGATCACGCTGCATTATGTGGATATCCCTTGGTCCTGGCTGGGCTACCTGAGGTCAGGGGCAGCGCTGCGGGGAAGCAACCTCGAACTGATTTGCATCAAGGTGGATGGGGTGACTGCCCGCCCGAGCTCCGACGCTGCACGTGCAGCTGCCGACATCTGGGTTGCCACCGCCACCGAGGACCCGGAGTTGCAGGATTCGGGCTTGGGGGAGTACGTCACCGGAGCCGAGGACCTCGACGGCTTGCCTTTGACAGAGGCTCGCCCTGCCGACGGGGAGGGCGACGACGAGGAGCAGGCAGATGCTGGAGAGGTTTCGCGTCTGCGTGCTCGACTCCACGCCCTCGAGATGGCTGCTGGTTCCGGGCCCTTGGCTGGAGGCGGGGTCGGGAGTCTGACTGGCCGGGCGACCGGTGCCCAAACACGACGTGGGGCCCGCGACCTTTTCCCCGCGGACCGCGAGACCGCCCTCACCGAGGTAGACCTTCGTGCACTTCGGGATGCTGCTGGCCCTGCTCCCTTGAGGCTTGCCCAGCACGAGCGGGCCCCGAGGCCCGCCTTGACTCGAGAGGCCGACGATACATTGACGGAGCTGGAGGCTGGGGTGTCCGCCGAGGAGCTGCCCAGCGGATCTTCAGGCGATGCTGTGCTTCAACGTCTTCTTTTGGTGCAGACCCAGATGTTGGCGAAGTTGTCGGCGGGAAAGGCAAAGAGTCCTCTCGAGGCCGCGTTGGTTTCCGGCGGGGCCAAAGACGACGGCAACTTGTCCGCGAAAGGGTCTGCTGCGAGGGACGCTTTCGTACGAATTTTGAAGGACAGCCAGCTTGTGGCAGATCAGATTCGGAGGCTGGCCGCGGAGGAGCTCGGCGAGGACGCGGTCAACCCCCTCCGAGCCTCATGAGGACCTTCGTGGAGAAGCGCAGCCCGGTGGGAGAGTTGCGGACGCTGGTTTTGGTGAGCACCTTTGCTGTCCATGGGTGGGAGCACGCCAGGACCACCGAGAACGTCGATCTGGAGGCACGGTGCGCTCGGC